CTGAAGGGATTGGGAAGGGAAAGGGGGGGGGGGTTAGGCAAAGAGAGAAAGGGTCTGTCAGGAGTGATATGTAGGGCCTGGGGTGAATACTGAAGGGAGCTAGAGCAATGTTAGTGGAGGAGGAGAGTGTGGTGGGTAGTGGAGCAGAAAGGAGAGGGTGCTAGACATGCTAGACTTAGGGGTCTATTCACAAAAGGGTGAAGAGTTTGGAGAAGGCAGGAGAAGTGAACAATCTAGGACAACATAGCTGAGCTGGAAAGTGAACTGAATAGGAGAATTTTTCCAAATCAGCTATTTTGGCTTAGATTGTTCACTTCTCCTGCCTTCTCCAAACTCTTCACCCTTTAGTGAATAGACCCCTTAGAGCGGTAAGCTATATCCTGTCCTGTATAGCAGGAGGAGCATTGAAAAACATACTGTATGTTTGGATCCTCTTAAATCCTTAAGGAGTAGATATATAAACAGTTCTATGTAGGGATGCACCGATACCGGTTTTTCGGTATCAAGTACAAGTATCAATCAATATTTTTTTTCGGCACTCGCCGATACTGAATACTGACATAGGAAGTCCCATTAAGGAAGCCAGGCACCATTTAATGACTCGCCACCTGGCTTCATGATTAGCCAGGAAACTGGGCGGCGTGTAAAGATTCGCCACTCGGCTTCCCGACTAGCAGGTAGCCATCTCCATGTTCCCCAGGTGACGAGGAAGCATGGAGCCGGCTTTCTGGCCAATCAGGATGCCACATGCCATGTAATGACTTGTTGCCCGGCTTCCTGAGTGTCGAGAAGCTGGCCAATCAGGAAGCCAGGCAACGAGTCATTACATGGTGCCCAGCTTCCTGATTGGCCGGGTAGCCAATGGCTCCATGACTCGTCGTCCGGCTTCCTGATTGGCCAGCTTCATGACCAATCAGGAAGCTAGGTGGTGAGTCATTACACGCTGCCCGGCTTCCTGATACCGGAAGCTCAGGTATCTGGCTAGGTATTGGAGCATTTGGGCGAGTATGAGTATCAGTATCGGTGCATCCGTAGTTCTATGGGTTCTGAATTGTTCCCTTGCTGCTTCATCAGTTCTGTTTTTTTACTCTGTTAGTTATGTTAGCATGTGGCTTTCCCTAATTGTTTCCTACACAACCAAAGCATTTAGCTAGCGGAATTCATTCTACTCTATCTGTTGAATATTCATATTACTAATTTAATTACTGATTTCTAGATAGGTTTGTTAATGTTTTCTAATTACTGTCTTAAACAATTACTTTGAACTTATAATCCAATATGATTCTTTAAAGGGTTAGTTCACCTTTGTCGTAAACTTGCATCCAAAAGACCCTAATACATTATAAATCATTGTGCAGTCAAGAGAAAACCTTCTTCCTTAACTACATCAGGACCACCATGTTACACCCCCTTCCTGCAACTCTGTACACAAATTCATTTTATATATTGTTTTTGGAGACAAGCTTTCTTTTGCTTTTATTTAAAACAAAATATTTTTATTTTTTACTATATAAAGAAAAAAGGCAATTTGCTCCTTACTTTCTGTCATAAAACATAAAATAAATAATCTTTTTTTCATAAATTTATGGCAAAATATATTGTGCTGTTTCTTTAGTAAAAAAACAAACAGACAAACAAATAAGGGTGTATTATTTAGCCTATGTGAAAGTTATAGAGTCTACAAACTATGGTATGTATATTTTTAATGTATCAACCCTTGAAATTTAGCAAACATCATTCTGACTGATCGCATATGTAAAATGCCAGTACAGTACAAAAACCCTAAAAATGACCCCTTTTTTAAAGTAGACATTGCAATGTATTTAGTAAGATGCATAGTAAATATTTTCAAGTTATAGTTTTTTGCCACAATTTTTTGGTAAATTACAAACGTAAATTGAGTTTGTTTTTTTATAAAGTAATAGTTATAATATAAAGTATTATCATTTGAATATGATATTTCTGACACACATCTTAGGCATACTTAGGATTAAAGCCAAAAACACATTCTGCTACTCCTTCTGAGTATATGGATACCACATGTAAAAAAAAATATTTTCAAAGCTAAAAGGACCCAAAATCCAAGGAGCACCTTCAAGCTTTCAAGGAACATAAGTTAAGCATCTGATTTCCTGACTACCTATCAAATTTGCAGAGACTTTGAAGTGGCAGGACAGTACAGACACCCACAAAATGACTGGCACTGGTAACAATCAGGCACTGGTTCTGACTGGCACTGATATTTGTTGTACAGACACTGGTACTGGATAGCACTGATACTGATAGTTGCTGCAGATGTTTTTTCTAAACTATAAGGTGAACTAACCCTTTTGGAGTATACAAATATATAGATATTACCTAATTTTAAGGAAATAAATGCATTAGTGATCACAATTTTGGGGGGATTTATACTTACAAGAATTCTTACATAGCGAACATATACATTTAACTGATCAGTTTTGTCTGACCAGATGAGTTTCTCATTTCCGTTTAAAGGTTTTTGGATTTTTAATAATAATTCTCATAAATTTTACCTGTGAAACAGTGTGCTTTAGTCAAACATCCACCGTATGTTCAGCAGTGGGTGGCTTATATTGTCTAAAATGTCATATATTATCTGTACACGTTAATTAGGATGTTTCTAGTCAGATACTTATGCATTCCAAAAGCTGCCAACACTCCAGTTTTATTTGGCAGCTTGAACAGAAGTCTGTTGATAACCATGATCTATTCTAAGGAGATAAGCAGAAAAAAGTAGGAAATGGCCATTCAGAGTACTTATAGGATACATAATCTAATAGCCTGGTAGACAAGCCCCTTCCTTAATGCTACCATAACTATCTAAACTGCACTTGAAAAGGATCTTTTGAGATGGAAAAAAAAAATACATGCATGTACGTTTTCCAAGTGATCCACTTAAAAGCCATACTGAGGCTATATAAAAACATCAGTCATTAGATATAGAGCATTAACAAGGCTACATGGCATCGTTCCAGCTATGTTACAGAAAATGATTCATAAATATGTTTTTTTTTTTATATTTTCTCTTTTATCCTCCTAAGTTTTAAGTGCATATGGAAGTCTGTATAGAAGACTTATCAAATACACAAATGACATGAGAGCTACACTTCACTTCCAGCTGTGTGTGGGCTTTCAAAAAAGTTATATACAGCACAATGTATTAGTTTTTACTTTTTTAAGCAATGTCTGCTTGGAGAGAAGCAGTACTTTTCCAGTATCTGTTTAACAAATGAGTTTATTTAAGAGAGCAGGCCTCCAAAGTTTAACAAATGTAAATAGAACGTGTTTTAAATGGAGAAAAGACGGAATTGTTAAGAAATGAGGCCTGGTTGCCAGCCAGTAGATAGGATTTCAGATTTTGTTATAAAAACCTTTAGACATGTGGATTTAATCCAAGAGGGAATTCACCTATGAGTGAAACAACTGAAAAGAAAAAGTAAAATAAGCTACTGTGTCCAGACACAAGCTTTGTGGCACATTTGACAGAAAGAATAAAATTCCTTGGCATACCGTAAGTCATGTTGAATGAATGTTCCTCCTGAGTTTAGATTATAAAATGCAGGCAGTACATTAAAGAGAAAATGTAAGCACATGTTTTATAGGGAAAATTGTATTTAATCTGGGTTCGAAGCTTAAAACCAGCACCCAGGAAAATTTAAATCACGTAGGAGGGTTTTATGAAAAGCAGAAGGTAGAAAAAATTTTTTGATCTGCAGAAGAACAGATTATTTGTCTGCATTAATTAAACTATACAACAAAATCATGGTCTCCAGAGCCTAACTGCGAGCCCAGTGTAACACTAAAGTTTTTATTTTACAAAAATGTGAGCCCTATCCTTTATTGGTTGGTATGGCTCAATGAGAAATACACTTCATTACCTTTCTTAAATATTTGCATGCAGACTTGTCTAATCTGTAAATAATCAATTAGTTTAACATTCCATGTAATGATATTGCATGAATTGTATGAATTCCCCTTGATTAGAGACATGCATATATTGAAGAGAATTAAAAAATGTCAGTTCACCAAAGCAAAGCTTCCTGATAATTAGTAAGAGCAAGTTCAAGTTTTCAAAATATTTAATAGGGTCCAATAATGGCAAATAGGAGTCTTGACAGTTATTGTAGCATTTTTACATGTAATGTTTATGTATTATATACTATATGGTATCCATAATAGTGTTTTCTTTTTATTAGCTCTGTGTTTAAAGGATCTGCAGTATGTGTATATCACATGCCTGACATTCAAACAGTGTTCAATGGACCATTTGCTCACAAAGAAGGACCCAACCACCAGCTGATTCCTTATCAGGGCCGAATTCCATACCCAAGGCCTGGTACAGTAAGTTGAATCAAGTGATTGTTTGCCTATGTGATCTTTGTATTTTCTTTTTTTAGAAACACTAATATTTTTGTCTCTCTCATTGGAGTTCTAACCAATACATTTCAGTTAGGCTTCTGGTAATCAAGAGGAAAAAATACAGATCAGAATTCAGTTATTAGGAATTATGGAATGTAAAAGACCGTTCAATGTGGGGCTTTTGAACACAAATGTTAACTGTTATGCCACTCAAATATCACCTATCCTCATGACATTTATCTTCACCCTAGCACTTCATTAATCTCTACCTCCCCCTAGCCCTAACAATTATCGTACCCTTAAAATTAAACCTTAATGCTTAATCTACTACTTACACTTAAAGCTCAGCTCCATTTGCTATTTTTTCCAAACCCCTATGGTTTTTTTTTTTTAATAAAAGTTTTCAGTGTACTGTTTATTCTCTCCAGCACTGCTCTCCATGTCCTCTGCCGCTTGCTGCTGTCCCATCTCCAGGTTGAATGACACCCAGCATCATTCAAGCCAATGCCTGTGAGCCCAGGCTATAATGAACATTTCCCCTTCCAGTTAAAGTGGAGATAAGAACTCCAAGTCAGGGGGGGGTGATTTACTAACCTAAACACACGCATGCACCAGGTGCGTGTGATTTTCACACAGCAAAACGTATTTATCAACCAAAAAGTCTCTAAAAGCATATTTCCACTAATGCCATATATGGAAAAATCATGCACATGATGCATATATAATGCTGCTTCACAGTTTAGACAAAAATGGTTAGCTCATGCATTTACATTCCTGCATTCATCAACGCAAGCAACACAACATAGAGCTAATTTACACAACATCACCTTGCAATTCAATGCGTGGCTTTGCACAACACACCTGCTGGGTGTGTACACACTACAAAGGTGTTTAGATTCCACCCATAGATCATGCTGGGAGGGAACACACTACAGAGGTGTATACATGTTCGTGGTGTGTTTATAAGGTTAGTAAATCAACCCCAGGGACTCAGAAAGTACGGAAAACATTGGTTTAACATGACTGCTAGGGAGCTAGCATTTTCAGGAAACTTCATCAAAGGCAGCCTAAAAAATTCTCAGTGCAGCTTTCCTTTAAAAACATGGAATTGAACTCACCTGTGGGTGATTGCTGTATTTCAGTGAATATAAGAACCATATGAAAAAACAACACCCAACCATAGCCGTTTATAGCAGCCCTTGCTTGGTAATGCCAAGAGAGAAGCATAAAAATTGGCTTAGAATATCTCTGTGGTTTTATGTTATTTTTAATGGTTTATGATCTGTGTTAGAAAAAGGTAAAAAACTAAATTACTGCATATTATTTCTGTGTTTGGATATCCGTTTGATGTCTCCTGATTTCTTTAGCCTCTGCAGAAAATGTCTGTAGGCTACCAATGTATATCCAATGTATATTATTGATGTGGACATTTTGTTGAGCATTTGTCTTCATTTTTCTATACATCCAGCCAGTAAAAGATACATTCTGACTAATCATATTGAACTCCTGAGCAGACCTCTGAAGGAAGCCTGTCAATATATTAAAACACTAAATTGTCATAATAAATGCTATTCAGGCATCCTCATGTGGTTACATGATGCTTCACATGGATGCCCACCACTCTGACACACTGACACATCACTTTGAGTACCAAAGAGGGGGAGACCTCTCCTCACTTTCTGTCTAGATGACCACACATGACGTGAGGTTGAAGGTTACATTCATGTATACAGACAGCAGTAAAATTTGTCAGTGTCAAACCCTTCCACATTCTACAATGAAAATGCCTTTATTTCCACCACTGGAAATATTCTTTTCCCAAGCATCACACAGAAAGTAAGGGAAGCCCAGCAGTAAAATTCTTAACTTTAGAAAAAACTATTCGCTGGCGTTCCGTTTTAAAGATCCATTTCTAGAATACAGATGTGTAGTAATTTAATACATGTACTGTTATTTGCAGTGTCCTGGAGGTGCATTTACCCCAACTGTACTGACAACAAAGGAATTCCCAGATGATGTTGTTACATTTATTAGAAATCATCCACTTATGTTCAACTCCATTTATCCGGTACACAAGAAGCCTCTTCTAATAAGGACAGGAACAGACTACAAGTATACAAAGATAGCAGTGGACAGAGTGAACGCAGCAGATGGAAAGTACCATGTCCTATTTCTTGGAACAGGTAAGAGGAATATAAACATTACTAAACATCACCATTTATTTGCCTGAGCAGTGTTTAGTGTGCGTGTGTGCAAAATTGAATATTTTGCTGCTTGGCAATGTCCATTGTAAAATATTTTCCATGGCCTTTTCTTTGTTCATAGTTTAGTGTATCTTTAAGAAACATCGTAATTAGAATAGTAGAGACTGTGTTTAGTTAGTTTGAGATCACATGCTGTGATATTGGGCCAGTATTCTGTGTGTGGCATGTTTAAATGTTGCATTACACACATCTGTCTTATTGTTTAAAGTAGATAATATGTTCCCTTTTAAAAATAATAAGATCGGTAGCTGTCTGAGGGTTCATCTTGTACACATATGTTTACAGTATGAAAGTTTTCAGTTTATGTAAGGATATATTTACATATGGAAATACAGTTTTAATTACATCAGAGAGTGAAAGTTTCTGTTATGTTCTGCCATTTACTACATTTCATCTGGGTTGTTATCACCACATTGTAAACTGCAGAACCAAGCTCTATTGTGCAATATCGAGTTTTGCTGTTTATACATAGCAATAGAGAATACCTAGACAGATACATTAATTTAGAGTTCTAATAGGTTTTAATATTCTACAGTGAAAAAAAAATGAATCGTTTACATTTGGTGATAGGTTATTCGGCACCAGTAATTTGGCACATTGTATGTCAGCACCTAACCCTTCTTGTTAATATATGATACAACAGGTCTGTTTAGGTGCATTGAATATACTGCAAAGTATCTGCACTAGCAGAAGTGAGTGAAATGCTTTATAAAACAGTCCATTGAATGGAAACCAGTTCACTCCAGGCAATACAGACTGGCAGTGAATCCCTGTCCAAACTGAAAGAAGTCCTTTGGGGCATGCGCTCCCTGCCCTTGGTTAACTTAAAGGCTTTCAACAGGATACATTTTGGTGTGTGAAGTCATAGCACTGCAGAAGTATACCATGGAAATATGCCATACAATATAACCTTTATTTGCTGTGTTTATTTCATATTAACAAATATTATTGCCACACTCACTGGCTCACTGATCCTTAAAACTGAAGTTTAATCTGGTTATATTCTGCCTTCCCTGATGTTGGAGGTCCTCCAGCAAGGAAATGAGGCAGGCTTTTTTTTTTTACTTGCTGCAACTTCTAATGTACACTGTGAGAAGATCACAATGTGCAAGCAAATCAGGGTAAGCAAATTTAGTACAGGAAAGGAGCTTGTTCAGCTGTGCAAGACTGAAGATAAGATTGGAGTTCAGCTTCAAAGCAAACCTTGCATCAAAATGCAAGGAACGGTTAAGATATTCACTGCCCTCAAACTAGAGGAACCTCAGCTAAGTAATGGAAGTGAGGATGTGGAAGCTTCCTTTTTCTTATGGATGATCCTGGGTAAAAAAAAATGTACTTTATGCAAAGCAAAACTCTCCCAAAATGTATATACCGTATATACTCGAGTATAAGCCGTCCCGAATATAAGCCGAGGTACCTTTACTAGAAGACTGCAGCAATTAAACCTGCAGTAATCAAATACTCTGATTTTAACCTTGCCCTTTTTTCTGTAATGAGAAAAATCAGTAAAAGAAATGTTCATTTAGTGGCTGTAAGAGATGAGATTTTGTGCGCAGAGATCTCACCAATAAACAATCTCCAAAACGTGTGGGAAATTCAGAACTTAATTTGGATTTGGTTGAACTGTACCTTTTATTAAATCATGAGGGAAACTTTTATGCAAACAAAACAGCCCAATCATAAATATGTGCAGCAAATATAAACACAGTAAATAAAGGTGTCAAATTATACAAAATATTTAGAGTTATCTAGGCTATTTTATTTTAGTCATGTTAGTAAAAGTTTATCATTTCTGTGCAATGAAAACACTGTCAGCATCGGCTGCTAATTTTTATATAATGCAGTTAATCACAGAAGGACCCAAATTGCTTCTGCTGTAAATCCATGACAGATAGTGATATAGAATTAAGTGAAGAGTGTAGTTCCTATCTTCAGCTGCATTAGCTTTATAGCTAGCTAGGCATGTTTATTGCCGTGTGTGCCAAAGCATTTGAACACTGCTAGGCTTAACATTCCTATTGGATAACTTTATAGTGTTGGACCAGACTGTGTCATACTATTTAAATTTTATGGAACTGCTATCACAAAAAGGTTTGGGTGAAAAGAGCTTCATATAAACTCTGTCTGTTCCCACATACATTTATCAAGTGATGACATGCTATGCTTTCTGCAAAAGCTTTCATGATCCCCTTTCTTCCAAATAAGCCGCTTGGACACACAGGATTTTACACAGAAATACTGAACAATGATTAATTTGCTTTAATGCAAACAAGCAATAGGAGAATGTAAACAGGACTCCTGCCCCCCAACAAAATCTAGTATATTGTTCAAGTATGCAACAAAAATGTCTATGTAACAGAATGGGGTTGATTTACTAACCTTATAAACACGCCACGAACAAGTATACACCTCTGTAGTGTGTTTCCTCCCAGCATGATCTATTGGTGGAATCTAGACACCTTTGTAGTGTGTACACAGCCAGCAGGTGTGTTATGCAAAGCCCTGCATGAATTGCAAGGTGATGTTGTGTAAATGAGCTCTACGTTGTGTTGCTTGCGTTGATGAATGCAGGAATGTAAATGCATGAGCTAACCATTTTTGTCTAAACTGTGAAGCAGCATTATATATGCATCATGTGCATGATTTTCCATATATGGCATTAGTGGAAATATGCTTTTAGAGACTTGCATGCTGCTATTAGAGCGGCGTGTAGCCTATGGCGCATGCTACATGCCGCGCACGTACATAAATACATAAAAACGCGCCATAACGGCGTGAAAATGTGACACGTTGCTTGTGTTTGGTTGATAAATACGTTTTGCTGTGTAAAAATGCACACGCACCTTGTGCGTGTGTGTGTTTAGGTTAGTAAATCACCCCCAATATCTCAATAGAAGGTATCCTAATACTCTAACGCTTGGAATAAGCAGCTCTAATTTTACACCAGCAAGCAAGGATAACGTAGTTTACACAGTTTCTAACATTTTGAGGATAGTGGACTAATATGGTGATAGAATTAAGAGGTTTAGTGCTGCCAAAATCACAAGGGGAATGGATCCAATAACTTTCAGGAGGCTTTGATTTCAATAGCCTGGTGCCAAGTGAACTGTGTCAGCTCTATTTGTCTACAGTTCTTGTTTAAACAGAGTATCAATATACAGTATTTCAGGGTTCAGATACATGGGCAAGAAAATACAGACACTACACAACTGGAAAAACGAAGAAGTTCCAGGTCCCTAAGCAAGATGTTTGGTTTTTTTTTACACTATTTATACTTGCAAATGTGTGCAGATTAAGGTGACACTAAACTCAGGAGTTAAATCTTAAAAATGCATTTAAGTACCTTATTATCAAAAATGTAGCTTATTTCTGCATTACTCAGGTGCTCACACTCTCCTTCCTTCTGGAGGGTGGCTATGTTTCTTCCCTATTGTCACTGTGTGTTTTGTAAAGTAGCCACCACTCCAAGCTCACTCCTGTGGAAGACTAAAATCTAAGTCTCGAATTAGTAAACTAAACCTGACATTGTAGTCCATCATGGGAGCAAGCTTGGACTGTCGCTACTTTACAACACACATAGGTACCATCGGGAACAAGTGTGGCCACCCTCCACAAGGAAGGACAGTGGTACACAAATAAGGTATTTTTCTGTAAATAGGTAAGGTACTTGAATGCATTTTTAAGATTTAGGTCCTGAATTTAGTATCACTTTAATATAATATGGGATTGAATAGAATAAAGTATGGTAGAATAGGAAGAACAGGCTAGGAAGGTATTGTGAGCATTGCCATTATCAGGCACAAAGGTGTGCAAGGGCAGAGTGATTAGAACAGCAGGAAACAGTCTACATTGCCTTGTTCCATTACTACACACAGTCTTGTTAGTTAAATAATTATCGCAATGCTACTATGACATCAGTACTAATCCAAAGAAAATGTAAAATACTGTATCATGCCATCACAAAGATTTCTGTTGATCTCTGAACAGCTAAAGCAGGTGTTGGTAACCGCACTGCGATATCCCACCTCTATGGACTTTAATCATAACATATGATAAACTGTTTTAATTGTAACTTACATGTTTTACCCTTTAAACCAGTTTCTGTAACAGTAATTGTTATTGTATTGTTTGCACTCCTAGACAAAGGAACAGTACAGAAAGTGATTGTCCTTCCTGGTAACAGTTCTGGAAGCAGTGAACTGATTCTGGAAGAGCTGGAGGTTTTCAAGGTTTGGCACAAGCTTCTGTTTCTAAAAGTGAACATGTTTACATACAACTTTGATCTGACAATCTTAGCACTGTAAATCACACTATAGAATGGTGTTGTAATGTGTGTTTGATTTAGAAAAAAAACAGCCTTGAAATAACGTAATGTTTGGTAAACTGCAACTATGACCTCAGTGAGTATATTCAGACTTAATGTCGGACAAGATAAATTCAGCTATCTCTGTGTTAAGTCAGTGTGGGAATTTAAACAGAAATGTGTTTGTTACTTGGATGTAACAAATGGGAAGTAATGCTGTCACTAAAATTGGATTAACATAAAATATGTTTTATATTATGCTAATAATATTTATTTTGTGCAAGCCAATGAGGTACCCATGGCCAGTGATGTAAAATACTTTTTCATGGTGTAGACTTTATTTAAAAGTGTGTTTTTACTTAATATAAAATCTTTCAGTTAGTGCTCAGCAACACCCAAAATGTTTTGTAGGCAGTGTCATAACAATAGCCATAGTAGTCCACAAGGCTGCTATGGGGCCTGGGTGTGGAAGGGGGTCCTACTAAGGGGGGTTGTTGAGACAAATTAAGCATACAAACTCTGTGCGTGTGTGGATATAACACAAATCTAATATTGTATCTTTAAGGATTGCAGAGGTTACTGTTGGCACTGGCCTGTACCCCCGCTAACATTTCCAGTCAACAAGAATAGCTGCCATTAGGAGGACAGAAAGAGGTTTCAAAATTGTTGTCACTGGTCATGGATCCCTCTTTGCAGGCTGTGCAGTAAGGAGAATTAGATTAGTCCTAGTGCTGTAAATGTATTGCCCTTAGAGCTTCTGATCATCCCAGCCAGCACTGAAATTAGCCCTCGAGCCTAATGCAGTCTTCCCCAGGCTGTAAAGAAATCCCACAGTGTCTACTCACATAAACACTGGCAAGATAGACGTTTGTACATACTTACTGTAGCAGTGGAAAGGGTGGGAGGGCTTAGCTCCTAACATCTGAGATTCTGAAAAGGACTGGTGAGCTACTGAGGACAGAGTAGGTAGATGGAAAATTAAGGTTAAAAGTTATTTGCATTAATTGATGCCCGCTTTTTCCCCTGACAACATCTGTCCCCAGCTTGGGTCCCTGGTACTGTACTGACAATGTTGACAGCTCTCCTGCTACCTCTCCCCGCTATAGACATACTTTAGGTTAGAACAATGACCGTAGAGAAGTTTCCAGGAGGCCCCATAAAAAATGTTCTATGGGGCCCATGATGTGTAGTTACCCCCCTGTTTGTAAGTTTTGTCTAATATTCAAACAAGTTAGTACCTCTGCAATATTTTAATGCTCTTTGACCCCACAAAGAAAATTTCTCCTCACTTTCTGTACCAGTGTCACCATGATAAGAAATGAGTGGTATTGGTGTCAGTTTGTCATACAAACTATTTTTTGCCAGTGATAACCAAAGGGGTCGCTGTCACATCATCTGTCTTTAGTTTTTACTGGACTCTGCGGCTGCATACTTCAATGGGAAAAACCTCTGTTTTTGTCAGATGAGTACACAGTGCATATTATTGTTATTTTAAAGTTGTAGTAATAAGGACATAACCTCCTATCATTTAGCAAAATATTGACATTATGTGGTTTTATTTCTCACTGGGGTATTTTCCTCTTTCCTTAGAGTCATGCTCCAGTAACCTCAATGAAGATTTCTTCAAAAAAGGTAACACACCCGAGCCTAACTCAAACTGAACCTAACTAAAACTTGCAACTGGACTGTGTAGCGTGCAAGTCACATTAATTGTCTTGATGTTGGATGTTTCAGAATTCTATGTATGGCTCTTTCACAGCACAGCTTTATCTAATTTAGTGTGCTTGTAGTTGGAGCTGTAGCCACAAGCTTAGCATTGCGCAACACTAAGATTCCCTATTTATTTAATGAAGACCGATGACAGATTACATTCATTTTTGCTGGCAACTATGATCACTATAATTACAGTTTGAGCTTGAAAAAATTAATTTCCTAAGCTATAATAATGGGAAAAATGTATCTTATTCCAGGCACATCATTTTAGTTTCTTGAGATGACACTTAAAAGTTAGAAATCTTCTGTTCCTTAAAGCACACACAGGGCAACCGAAGGGTTATCTGTAACTATTTGAGTATGTTTTAAATTATCATTTGTTAGAACATATTTCTTTCTCCCATCTTATAATACTGCTACATGAATATCTGAAAGCTCTTCATTGTAGTTGCAAAAACTGCATATGACTTTATACATTTTGATTAGGTATTTCATATTAACATGTGAATATTACCATATATTGTGTATATTAAAGTGGGCCTTTACACTCAAAAATTTAATTCTACCAATGCATCCCTCTGTATGATGATTAATAATAACATCATAGACATGTCAGGTGCAAAATGCTGTAATTTTGAAATACGTAGACTTGCAGAGCATTCACTTACTGCTTTGAAAGGGCAAAATGACTTCAGTTTGCCAAAGCAATTCACACTGGGATTGCCTTGTCATCAGCAGAGCGATGCTGGGAAATCTCATCTGTAATCTCATGAGATCTTAGGGAAAAGCGTTTTCCTCCCCTGAGATGATGTGCATGGTCACATGTCCTAGTCACATGTCTAGTCACATGTCTAGTCACATGTGCCAGGAATCCAGGAAGTAAAAGGAGAGCTAGTAATCTGCCCTTAGTAAACATGGCCACTGTCAGAAGACTAGGGAAAGAAAATAGAAAAAAGTTATGCAAAGAATACGAAGCCGGCAATTATTTAGAAGTATGTGTTTGTAGATTGTCATTACTAAAGGTGTGTTTGTTGTTACTCTAAAAATATGGGTAAATGTCCACTTTAAGTATAGTAGTTAAATTAATACAAATGGCTGTTATGCATAAAGAACCAAATAAACCTAATTTACTAGATTTTTATAATTAGGGTTGTTTTCATGAGCCCTCCAGCACAGAGCCATCAATCCTGTTACTCTTAGAGCACAGGGGTCTGCCCTAGGAAGACAAAATAAGGCTGTATTAAAATAAACCATACTATTCTTCTTGTTATCCATTATAACAGTACCTGTGCATGGAGGCTGTTGTAAACTCTTTATTGCAGCCTATCTCCTGCCACATCTGTCAAAAAAGGCCCTTGATAGCAGCTGTGAAATTCAGGCTGGAAATCAGACTTTTGAAGGAAAAGTCTACAGTCTGCCTTTTTTGATTCGCTGGAACTATTTTTTTTAATTGGCTGACGTTAGCCGATAGAAAAAGGTAAATTTTTACACTGCATTTTCACAGTTTCTATTTAGAGATTGCTAGGAGACAGGAGAGAGAGAACAATAAAGAGAGAACAATAAAGTGCTTATAAGAACTTGTATGCACATGTACTGTTAGATGGGATAGTCAGAGCAATGACATGGTTTACTCTAAGGTAAAATATAGGCAGACGGAGGATTTGTAATAATGCAATTGACACACATAGTTCATAATTATAAGTGTATGTATAGCCAAACTGTTGGGGGTTGGGGTAGACACTGACAAATAAAAACCTTAAGCCAGCCCCTGTCTAACCGCACCACCAACCATCATGCTTCAATTTTTGCTAGTGTCCTAGGAGATTGAACGCCTTTCCTAAGTTCCTCTAAGAAAATCTCTACTTTTTTAATCTTATTTTTTAATTTGACCTTTTCTTCAATCAAAATACTTGATTCACTGCAAATTAGTTCAATCCAGACTTGAAAAACGTTGCTTGTGTCTCTACTGGCAGCTATCTGGACCAGTGTATCAGTAGCTGTGAAGGCCATCACTGGACCCCGCTGGTTTGAAAATTGCGGGGCTTGCCTGAAATGTGACCTTCAGGGACTGGGCTCTGCATTGAGGCACTTTCCAGACCTTAGTGTACTGTGTTACTAGCAGAGCGCTCACTAGGTCCAGAGCCATGGCACAGTTCCTGATGTGACCCAGTCTCTAAAGACTCACATAGTAAATAGACCTCTGGACATGGCGAGGCTAGCCTGAAATTTCACTTTGCTCTGCATTATGGCACTTTCCAGACCTCTGTGTACTGTGTTAGTTAGTCTCAGAGCACACTCAAGGTCAAGAATCATGGCACAGCCTCTGGTATTACCCAGTCTCTAAGGACTCATGTAGTGAGTAAGGCCAGTCAGGATGAAGCACTGGAAGATACCTAACAGTTGGCACCATTGGGCGCCATTTTAAATTCCAGCCATTTTACAGCAGTAACTGAAGGGACTGAGCACTGATGTCATCCGCACACACTCTGTGCTTTTCCCTCACTATTCAGCCTAGAGGAAGTACCTTCCCACTGCTGCTCCTGCTTCTTCAGCACTTTGTGGATCATCTAGTCTTCAGTCTCTTGACTCGATCAGCTATGGCTGTTTATGACCCTCTTGAGCATCAGCTGCTTAACTTTGTGATTTTGTGAGGCCTTGCCTCACCTTGGGCCTAGTTGTTTTCTGCTCCATAGTGCAACATGTCTTTTAAAAGACTCACAGAGAACAGTCCAGTTGCATCAGATAATCTAAGTCCAAACTCCCCCATGGTGTCTAGGTGCAATTTTTCAGAAGGATCTAAAGCCTGGAGGCTAGATCCTGGGGCACCCTTTACTATAGAGCCATCCACAGTCTTATATAATTCTGCAGGGTTAGCCTGACACCTCCCATGTGTACACAAGATCTCTAATATCCACTTTGTGTGTTTTACTTTGTATCAAGTTTGTGCACGATTATTGAAGCAATTTGCTTGCAGAGGCTCCAAGCTGGCTTTGGCACCATCAACGGCAGAATCTAATTCTGGCCCTACTGTACCTCCACCTCAAAGGGTTTCTGAGGCTGCCATTACCATCTCTGACTCAGATTCAGTCTTCTCCTGAAGAGACTGCATTTTCTATTTGACTCAAATTTACAAAGAAGTCTTGATAATCTGATTTAAGTAGTATGTTCTGCCCTGCAGTTGGAGGATCAGACTGCTGTTCCAGGCATAGGATCTTTTAGATGTATGTATGTAAAACATTACTCTATGGGGACTGGAAACAACCAGTGGAATAATGGCTTCCATTAAGGCTCATCATATTTCAGGTAGAAGTTCCCCTTACTGGTGATTACCTCTCCTGGTGTGGAGCACTAGGTTGATCCTCTGTGCTCTCCCCCTCAGTCATGTCATGGCAAAACATATGTAGTGCTCACCCCTGAAGGAACCGGCGGATATATGAACCACTGTGGATGGATTCACACTTTGTGGGTTTTTTTATGAATGCTTTTCTAAACAAACAATATGCTGAATCAACATATAAATGGATATGGTGAACAATAACAAGAATGAATATGCACACAATAGAACACCTCAGCCACCTGTCTAATAACAGTATTAGACAATACTGAGCTAATTGAAGCAATCCCATTTGGATATAACTAAGTTGAATGACTCAGCTCAGAATGTCCCTAGTTCCCCATGCTACTGGTCAGCAGTGACATTTTAGGCTAGCCAGTGTTGGGGCCCAGAATTCTGTTTATAAGCATGTGTTAAGTTCAGCAGTAACAGGTGCACATCAGCCGCTCACCACTCCTGTAGAGCGTAGATTTGGTGATGGCTCCCTCACTGGCCAGTGAAAAGGACATCTCCCTTTTGAGGTGGTTACTCTCTGGATCCTTTGGCAGTAGTGACCAAACGAGCACAGCAGTGTCCCATTGGAAAATCTTTTTGTTCTCGGTGAAACTCAAAAAAGTTGTATTTCCCAACACTGATAAATGTCACTAGGACAAAGATGATGAATCTGCCTAGCTGGGACACAGACAGCAATAAAACAGGTGTTAAAATTGTTCCCTACTTTATCCAAAATTACATAAAAATAGGTTTTGGCTATATAAACACTTTAAGCAATTTGTCTTCCTGTTGTAGCTTTCTCAATCACCTCTCTGTGCCTCCAGCTTCCTAATTGTACAGTGGATCGGGATTATCCCTCCAGTCCAGTGAGCATTAGCTGGTCCAGGAAGTAGCAGAGTGGTCTTACAGAAGTGTTTGTATTACAGGAATGACTTGGCAAAATTACAAATCTTCTGAAATGTAAAAAAGAGTAAACATATATGTACAAATCTCAGATTGTATCTCATCTGTGTATCAGCTGTTTTCCTGGTGAGCCACTTTTATGTTTTGAATGAACTAAAAGAAAAAAAGAAAAACAATGTTTTAATCCTACTGTGAAACAAATACTTTTTTTACTAAACTTTGATAAGGTCTAAATATATTTTAACAAGACCTGGCCTAAACAAAAGCCTTTATCCATTTTCTAATAGCAGAAGCATTTAGATCTCCAAATATAACCTCTGAAATAATTTTATATTTTCTGATGGTAAGGGCTGCTGAACATGCAGGCAAGCTGTCTTTTTATGCCATCTATAGTTCAAAATGATTTTATACTAAAACATTGTGTTTCATAGTAAATTTTTTTCACAGCAACAACTGTATGTTAGTTCAGAAGAAGGAGTCACTCAAGTATCTTTACATCGCTGCCATATCTATGGAACTGCATGTGCTGACTGCTGCCTAGCCAGAGATCCCTACTGTGCCTGGGATGGAAAGTATTGTTCCAGATTTTATCCATCAGGGAAAAGGTGAGTGTCTGGAAGGTAATATGCACTAAAAGCAACCTCCCCTTCTAAATGTAACCCTACATTTAACACTTAAATAAAGTCCCTAACCCTTAATGAAACCGAGACTGAGAAAATATGTATAGAATACCAGTGGTAAAATCGTGAACATCCTTCTCCATTAATATGTACTATTGCATTTGCCTATCATACCACTGAGACGCCTCGATCAGTATTCACAATAATTGCTCCCAGCTGTGACCGTGTTACTAAAATTTACCCATAATAGCTGTAACATGTGAGTTTTGAGGGTATCCAACAAAACTACGTAAAGTTTTAAAATGGCAGCTCATACTATACCGAGGTTTGGTAACTACGTTTGCATACAGGATCGCTAGCAAAATACAAAATATTTTTTTTAAAGTTCTCTTTGTATTTCAAAAAATTGACTCTTGCATTGTTTTTCTGTCTTGTAGGAGAAGTAGAAGACAGGACATAAAACATGGAAATCCGGTTACTCAGTGCCGTGGATTTAACTTGAAAGGTGCATAACATGTTGTCTTCATATGTCTTTTTCAATTGCCTCATGTTGAAATAATAATATACATTTTACTAGTTCGCTAATCAATGAGTTGGAACTTTCAGAAATAACCAGTGTTTACTGACTGAAAGCTTAGGTATAGTTCCATTGCAGTTTTCTAAATCTAATGTAATTTTGCATACACATATCTTTTCTATACCATGCAGTGTTTGCACACTTGCCACACTCTCCTTTTTGTGGGCCACATCTTAAAGCGGAACTCCAGGGAAAATTTTTCTTAATCCTTGCAGTGAGGCTACCCCCGCACTGCAAGGGTTAAGTGTTTGGGGTTTTTTGTCTAGAATCAAAAATAGCAAAGTTATCCTCACCTTATCCTCAGAGCTTGCTTTCTCTTAGACTTGTCCCTGGAGCCTCTCTCCTCCTCTGCAGAAGCAACGGTACTGTATGTCTGTCAGCATCCTCACATCCTATACACAGTGCGAGACAGAAGGGAATGGTCTAAGAGCAAGCTGGCTCTGAGGATCAGGTGAGTGTAACAAAAACGAGCACTTAAATCTTGCAGGGCGGGGGTAGCCAAAAGCATAGGGAAAATGGCAATGAAGGCAAATGGTAACACTGGCTGTACAACATAAGAGCTTTGAGACATCGAAAGTAAATTAAAACATAAACCTAAGCAATCATAATGTGTATATAAACCCTAAAAATAAATATATTTGTTGAATGTGTATAGAATACCTGTTGATCTTGCCAGAAATGCCATGAGCTAATAACTTCACTTCCTCTGCTCACCTTGTGCACAATGTAGGTGTGTCGGAGAGGGGGGGGGGG